AATTATCACTGAAAACAGTCAATATTAGTCACACTGATACAAAAATATTATAGTATTTGAAACTATAATTGCGTAGTGAAAATAATTATAGTCAGGAATATCATTTTTATAGTAATTATTACTATAATTTTAATAATAGCAACCATATAGACACAGTGAGATGCCAACTATTTAAAATATTTACTATAAAATATAAGCTTTTAATTATTATTCGATTTATTACTTATATTGTATATAGTTGTAGTTTATTACTATATCGTATGTTTCACTGTGTTTCAGGTAACTTAATTTTATAGTACGGTTAACCACACAAAAATCTATTTCTAGTTTACCATAATTATTTCACAAGGTTGTGCCAATTTATGTCATAGTGATAATGACTAGAAATTTGTGTTTGTTCTGCTATATTTTGCAGGTTTAATAAAACTATAAAATTATGTTTGGAGCCAAAATTCACTATAAAATATAGTGAGCTTATAGTTATTCTAACCACTTTTTCTATCAGTGTACTGATTTACAGTTGAAAATCGCAGTGGTATACTTATAACTGCAAATCAATGACTATTCACTGTTTTGAGTGATAATCCACTGATTGACTTTTGGAGAGTAAACCAACGTATTTTAAGAATAAAAAAACCATTAGCCCATGCTCGGAAGAATCAAAAAGGAAAATGTAATTGTCTCCATTTATTGAATAAGATTGTGGACAAGATTGATTAGAGAATCGCGTTGATGTCGATACCATTGGCGCGATCAGGCGCGTTTCGACCATCATTTTACTCGTCTCGGGAGGAGAAGAGTGCGCGAGGAGGAGCGGCGCGCCGGAAACGCGATGACGCCTCGCTCCTCGGCGGACAATGGCGCGCCGGAGGAAGTAATTCGCCGGAGGACTTGGTCCGCGGTGCTGTTTAGACTTGGGGTGTTTGCCAGCGTGGTAGGAGCATTGTCTTGACAACTTAGCGGTTATTTTACACGCTGTTAGGTCGGTAAGCTAGCCGCGAGTTTACCGCTGTTTCTATGCTAATGAGGCCCGAGGCCAGCCAGCGACGCGAAGACGGAGAACACGAGAGAACGAGAGGCTCTACCCCGGGGTAGAAGGAGTCTTCTACGACGTCTCAAACAGCTCGACTGTAATAGCTGAAACTTGGTCCTGTTTACGCGAAGAGCAACTCCCGGCAAAACGGGCTCTTGACAAGTGTATGCGCCTCGGCGTTTGCGAGGGAACTTCCCCAGGTACACTTAGCACCTCGTCGTCTCGCCCTTCTGCCACGTCTTTTGGATAAAGCCGCTGAGACTTGTCTTTGGACTTTGCCTTTTACAGTCACGAGCATGTTAATGAGTTAATCCGCGGGCGAAGTCGCGACAGGGTGAATTTACGTTAATACTGGATAGCATCTAGCAAGCATAATCTCACCGCGAGCCTCAATTGGGCGGGGTAGGCTAGGCTAAGACTGCGATTTTTAATAATTAATAACTCGTTAACTATTGCGAAAATTGCAAAATGGTAGAGGACTTTAAATAAGTAATACGTAAATAAGAGGCGAGGCGGGTATTACATAACAATAAAAAATTATCCGATTAAATATTATATAAATAAAGAAAGAAGCTCCAGGAGATATATTCTCCGATTGTATTTAATTGTACATTTTTCTCAGCGTGCTAAAAATTACACTTGCTCATTCTTGGCACTGCCAGAAGTTATATTGGGTGATAAGAGAGAGAACTTGACTCGACACAGCGTCTTTACTCCACGTAGATATCCCGTCGAGGGATTAACGCACACGGGTGCGCAATATACATATTCGCTGGTACGACGCAGAGAACGACGCAGGCAATTTCGGATGACTAAAACTAATACAGCGGCGCGCACAGTGGCTGCTTACCCGTTGTAACTAGTAGCAAAACGAGCGCTTGGGAAATGCGCGCACGTAACTGGTTTACACGTATCTAGCTCGCTGCTCGTGCATACCGATATATGTGCCGCATAGGTGCGTGCAGTGATATGCCTATAAAGTAATCTAATACCTACGAGAGCGAGACGGGTGACGTCGGGTAACTAAAGCCAACGCCGAGACTTCGGGGCTGCTTACGTGAGGTAACTCCTAGTAAGACAAGCCCTTGGGAAATACTCGCCAGGTTCGGTGCGTAACGCCAAAACTCACACTTTGTCCCCGGGATGTGTGGGATTGAGCTGTCGCGGCGCCGCAAATCGTCGCGTCGCCGCGCGCAATCGGAAGCGCAATCGCGTGCACGGGAGGATAACGACCCGCGCTGATATTTTCAGCGGGACCCCCGCGCTTCTTTTTCCCTCGGCCACGTCTTGAGACGTAAACGAGGTGGATACACCGCCGTGAACGACCCTAATGTCGTCGCTAAACACTCACCCGGTATCGCCCGATCTTTTTCCGCCGAATGGAAGAATTATTTTCGTCACACGCCGACGCGTCGTTATTATCACGGAGGGGGGGGGGGGAGGGATTTTAATGCTGCGGCGATAAAATGAGTGTACGTGGTACCGGTTCTGGGTCTTTCTCCGGATCCTTCTCCTCTCGGACCGTTCGATACCAGTTTCTCGTTTTTATCAGAGTTAAACGCGGGCACGATCGACCTCCGCTTTGTACGTTCTAATTCCAGAACGGAATCGGACTTTACGATCGATCCCTCGGATGCAGAGATCCGTACGCCGATTTCTTGGCATTGACTCGCACGACCTCGAGCATTACAGTAATGGTCGTAACTGCCTTAAAAAGCGGTCTCGGGCGCCATCGGATGGTATAACATGCAAATTGCCGGTTGTTCGATCCGGGAGGGAAAGCCGGGATTCCTCGATTGGCTATTCGAGCACACCGCCGCCGTTCCGTATATTTTGCCCGGGCGAACAACGACGGGGGATAGGGGCGGAAGGAGTTACTCGGGCGATCCGTGAAACCACAGGAAATTGTACACGATCGTGCACCGGGAAATGATGGTCGAATTCAGGGAATCTACCCGCGCATTCGGACAGATCAAGGTTTTCAGAAGTATAACATCGTGCTCGCTTCGCCGGTTATCGCCACGTCTACAAGTTACAACGTATACCTTTCCATTTTCAGTTCGAGCCCAGCAACCACTGTGCTCACATGTACACGCATTTTATAATTCGACTCTGTGTTATGTGACGACGATGACTCACTTAGTACTATCTTGATAAGGACCCAAAAATAGGGTCGAAACGTCGTATTAAACTAATGAAGTAACAAGCCAGTTGGGTTGACTATAAGTTTCCCGTTTTAACTTTTAATCATCACTGGTGACTATAAGCAAACTCCATCTTTTCATTATCGTTTCTTCCTGTTACATCTCAGTACGTCAAAATTGTCCGTTTTTCGGTCAGTATATTTAAGTGTTTTAGCGTCGATTGGACTTAATTGTGTGAATTAATTAATTTCTGGACCAATAAGATTGGTCCAGATTTTGTTATAGATTAAATAACGAGGATCAGTTCTATTATTTATTTCGTAATTTGAATAATTAATTACCAATTTAATCGGAATGAGATAATAATTATTTGTTGGTTGATCTAAATCTTTACTCAGAATATAGTGTTTTAATTATAATGCAATGATAATGCAATTATAATGAATTTCGCTTTAAACCTTTGGGAAGATATTCTTAAAGAGTATTACTATTAATTTATGTAAAAAAGAATCAATTTTTGACCCTATAAAATAGGTTCCCCCCTTAAGTAATAAGCTAAATCCTAACTGTATTAAATAATAAATTAGCACCGTTGAAACACATCGATCAACCAATTCGAATCAACAAGTTAAATCAATGTTATTTTATGAAACAGTGAAAGTGAGGGAGTCAGTCTGTCAATGAAACTATTTTTATCAGACTATCAAATAATTAGACTAAGACTATCTCTCTATCATTCACTAAGCTGAGTCCCCTGATGGACCGATATTTATACTAAAAATCCCTCCTATTAATTTTCTCCCATCACTACGCCTTACAATTAGTGGATGAGGAAGGTATTATCATTTGTAATAGTATCCGCGGGAACAATTCTTCGCCGGTGTCTCCCAAGGAAAAAATCGATAATTCTTCAATATTATTGGTGTGTCTTTTACATTGTAGGAGTTCGATAACTTTATCTTCAGATTTATTTTAGATTTAAAAGTTTAAATTTATGTTAAGGGACCCCGCACAGACTACATGGAAAGTCCCCCGGTGAAATTGGCTGAAATTTAAGTATGTTGTTGTCCTTGACGTCCCGAACAAAAGACTCAATGGGCACGACTCTAAAAATTTAGTACTTTTCTGTCCAGAGACGTTTAAAGTGAAAACCTATGACCACATGCTTTTTCACGAACCAAGTATACATCTCTCTCCACACACACACGCACGTATATGTGAATATATATATATATACATATATATGTATACTTGGTTCGTGAAAAAGCATGTGGTCATAGGTTTCCATTTTAAACGTCTCTGGACAGAAAAGTACTGAATTTTTAGAGTCGTGCCCATTGAGTCTTTTGTTCAGGACGTCGAGGACAACAACATATTTAAATTTCAGCCAATTTCACCGGGGAACAGATTTCCATGTAGTCTCTGCGGGGTCCTTTACACGTCCGTTACACCTTCCCCCTTAAAATCATATCTAATCTTAGGCAAAAAAATTTAATAAGCGGGAAAGAGTTTGTTAAAATTTTGTTTCGTTCGAGTTAAATGTCTAAGTGTTTTTTTAATTTTTTAAAGATATATTTTATAATTTATTTTTTTATAAAGATATTCCCCACTTATTTCTTATTTTATTTTTTAAAATAAATATAATTGCACTTAAATTTGATACGTTCTTATATTTATATATAAAATAATATACTATAATATATTTTTTAAATAATGATTACACAATTCTTGATTTGTAATATAATTCTTTAATAATATATATTGTTATAACAACGCTTATATCTATTGAATTTATTTACTCAATATATATAATGATTATATGAAGTAAATTAATTTTATAAATCATAATGTATATTAGTTACCTTAACTTCACAATCGTATCCCGATCCTGAAGTCCAATCAAATCGGTCGTTAAAAGTTACATAATTATGTAAACATAATTTACAGTCTAACGCTGGTTGTGCTAATACTACAATTTTAAGACATTTATGACATATCTCTTTCTCGAGCATTGATACTTTGTATAGTGGTCCACACAAAGTATGCCAATCCTGCATTAAAACATAATTATTTCGTAGTTCCTCCTCCGGATGATTTTGTGCACAGTCCTGACAAATACGTTTATACGGATAATGTTCTTCTAGATACAAATTTTCGCGTTAAACCGCCCGGAAACAGTAACTTCTAGTGAATATTTCATAAACTGATGTTGGCGGGGGTCCACTCCGTCGATTATGATTTCGTTATTTTCTATTGCCATGGTCTTTCCTTTCGTTGTTTTAAAATTTTTCCTTCCTTTAATAATAATATATATATATAACTTGATTGCACTAAATAAACTAAATAAACTAAACACTAAATAATCTTTACCTTTTGAATAAACTATTCACTTCTCACTTTTACTCTTTCAATTTTAACAGATACTATGTCTTTACGGTTCAGTAGCTTGAGTTCGACTGGCTGTCGAGCCACTGCAGTGACTAGAATTTCCATCTTCTATCCCGGAAATATTTGACACGGTCTTCCAAATTTTCGAGCTTATTGTTGGACATGTGTCGCTTGCTTCTAAAGATTCGGGATCATTGTAATGCCCTCTTCGTTTCTGGAGGTTTGCTGTATTCTAAAATTGGTGTTATATAATACACTGAGAGAAAAAATAGTCATTTTTGGAGCCAACCATATTTTTTATAATTCCTCCAACGTAAGTTATGGTTGACCTAACAATGTGATAGTTCTCATAACCACAATATTGGTTGTCATAAACCAAAAATATGGTTGGGTCCAAAAATGACTATTTTTTTTCTCTCTGTGTACCATCCGTCGTTTCGTAAAAATACTTTTGGAATTGTTCTGTCGCATGTTGTCTGGCTTTCGGTTTTGAAAAGTATGTGTATCCTGGGAGCCAAAAAGTACGTTTCATTTCCTTTGAAAACTGGTCCGTTGAAAACTGCTGATAGCATTCCTGCACTGACAAAACATTTTTTTAGAACTAATAAGTAAATATTATAGATATAAAGGAAGGAGAGAATGCCAATGTGAGCCACAAAATGAACAGAACACGGTTCTCACAATATAA